TAACCTTTTCACCAGCATCATTAAATGCCTTCCTATCAACCTCCAACAAGTGTAACTCTACTTCCCGGGCACGTGCTCTAAGATCTATATCGCGCTCTTGAGCACTTCCAAGCCCTCGTAAAACCAAGCCAACATCTGATCTTAATTGCACAAGGTCGGCAGCTAAAGGATTCCAGTACAACCTGTTCATGCTATCCGTAAAGGGACCAGAGAATATGGCTGATCGGAGCGAGAAGAGGAAGCCAGCCATGCTCCAAGCTGGACTACCAATATGGGGTGGTATTTGTGTATTGGATAGCTGCATGCATGCATGGAGAAAGTCTTGGTATGCATCGTTGATCATATCCTTTTGTTTGGTACCAGTACACGTATAGGACAGTAGTACGTCATAGAAATTGGCTGCTGAGTATGCGAATTGGTCAATCGCAGATGGTCCTGCATGAGGCAACATATTGAATATCTTAAGTATTGTTAATAGTGTAAAGGTAACAGATATACCATAAGTGCCTGCAACAGCTATACCCATACCTTCACGATAAGCTTTGACAAAGTAGAATGTTGAGGTGAAGTTAGATATAACCAATGCTGGCTCACCCGCTATGATAGCGTTAAGCTTACACCCTCCATGAGTATGTATAAGGCAATAAAAGAATGTAAAAGGGTACTGGAATAGTACCGCCCAAAGTCTATTATCACCAATGCTAGTAGCTATTAGATGGACCAAGGCACCGGTAGCCCATGCAAACCATGCTGTGGTAATAGTAACTCTCCAGAATGTAAATGACCATTGGTAATTGAAATCCGCGTCGAACATGGCCCACATCGGGGCGATAATCTGATAAAATACTCTGTGATAGCTCATATTCGGAAATAGACAAACAAATGGACTTACTAGAGGGAATAGATACCATGCTCCTGATGGTGATGCATACAAGGGAATGTATGCTATCGATACTGGTATGAGGGTAAAGAGTGCTATAAGCAGCTTGTAGACAGGGACTGATCGAGGTGTGTGAGGGATAGTCATAGTGTATGAATAATCCACACTAAAAGTGAACAAAACAGATTCAATAACCAGGTTACTATTATTACACTATAGAGCCCACTCAAGGTTGAATACCACCCCAAATGGATATCATCGCTTCTACAGTGAAAATGATACCTAGTCCCACCGGTGTACCATTCATATCATGGATATGATATCGGATATCAGATATGGGTAATATTCATCGAGGAGAGCTTGCAATAGGAGTATAGCAAACCCTCCACTGTTAAACTGGATAACGCGAAAAGACGAGGCTTGAAACTAGTTGTAACTTAGGTCTGGTAGTAGATCCACAAACCACTACCAGTACACTATTCGTCATACGAGTATTGTCATTCACTGACATCTTTCAAGTTGCCAATGATGATAATCCTTTATGACGAGGATAATGTAGGAAAAGCAACAGTGGCAGCAGCACCAGCAGCACCAGCAGCACCAGCAGCAGCATGAGCAGATCTACAAGAAACTTGAGGAGCTTGATTGCTGCTCCTGGTCTAGAGAACTCTGCAAATTCTGTGCCATCTCCGCAGAGGCCTTGGTAACGATAGAATAGGACTCAAACCTGTAGACAAACATAGAGGTACGGGATGATGAGAGCAGCGGTGGCGGTGGCGGTAGCCACTTCGATATTACATGCGATCCATACACTTAGCCAAGCATATCTG